TTCTTATCGTGAATGTTGAGTCACAAGCCAGTGATTCATGGGTGAGATAGAATCATGATATGTCTAGGAAGGATTCCTTCAAAATTACTCAGGGAAACCGTGTCCTAGCCTTCCTACGCTGCGGGCTGATGTTATTGGTCCATTGACCTCAGATAAAGGTAGAGTTCTTGTGGGAAAAGAGCGAAATAACTAGCGCACTTTCCTTTTGCCTAATTTCTTATTTAAACTCCTAACCAGTTAAGATTACAGGCGCTTAAACTTCTCATAATACATTTGAAGTCTAAACTGATGACTAGTCGACTTACTTTATTCCATTTACGAACACAGGTGATGGCCTAATTGCAGCCTGATGCTCAAAGTGGCCCAGCCAACCACCCTGGTATAACCTACTCTCCACCGACTAAAAAAGTGTTGTTTTTAATGCAATGTGGAGCATTACAGACGTGTGCTATAAGAAATAGTTAACCCCAGCCCTGGAATAATATGCTAACCCACCTTGTAGTCCCTCCTTCTGCTAAGGCTGACCCTCAGAAAGAGGAGCAACTCTGTGATGGGTAGGCAATGTTGCTGTCCCCGAAGTTCCTTCTACCCAAGAATTGGCCTGCCCTGCAGTATCCCTGCCCAATTGTCAAAAAAGGCGTCAGGTTACGGTAGCCGCACCAGCCAGGCAAGTGGTGCGATTGCACGCTGCCAATGGACAAAGGTGTCCGGTATGCTTACCTCTATTAAACATCATTCTTACGGACGCTTCTTGTTAATGCGTAACTGCATTTACTTTGAGGAGATGTTTCGTCCCCAACGATGATTAAAATTTAGGATGTTTCGCGTACAGCGGGCGGTTTATGTTAAAACAATCGCACCTCTTGTCTGGCTTTTTGCCAATGTTTCTATTGTTCTTTTCAATACTTCTTGAAGTACTTTGTTATTTGACATGCTAGAATTGGCGCATTATCCCGCTTTCTTAAGCATGGTTCACTATCATAAGCTTTTGTCAAAAGTTGAGCTGCTTTTCTTGTTTCAACTGTTTAACACTGTGAAGGTTGAGTCAAAGGGTAGCTCTTCTTTTTAATCGCACTCTTTTTCAAACAGGGTGAGGTAGCCTTATTCTGATGTATATGTTGATATTATTTTAGGGTTTCCAATGCAAAACGATCTGTTGGAGCCGCCTTTATCACAAGGAGTTATGCAGCATGTCACCCTGCCACCACAACCGATCCTATCTAGAGTAAGGGATTGTGTGTTTCTTGGATTCCTTTTATTACAAGTAGAATTCCGAAGCTATATGAAGTGTAAGGCTGGT